CAGCCCAAAAAGTACATACTTAGTCTGGATGATGCCTGTACCAAGATGGCTCCATTCCAACAGCAGTGGACAGCATTGTCAGGGATCTTTGTGAAAGGTAATAAATACCTAGAAGTGTTACACTTAGGCAGTATTTTTTTTTGTTCAATCAGAAGTTGATTTTTTATAAAAAATGACCCAATTCTCTCATCCACACTTTCCATGAAAAAAATGTATCTGAAGATGGGTCTACATAAGTTAGCTTGTGGGATAACAGGACTATTAATGGTTTTACAGAGACTTAGGACATTGTTTATAAAAAAATTAGTTGTGCAAATGTCTCAAGTATCTGCACAGCTCTCACAAATGATGTCCATAATTTGACTAATATGTTTATTTTCTATAATCATCAGCTCCATCTAGTGGCTATAATGCAATATTTTCCCAAAATACCTCAATCAGGAACATACAGCATTATAGCCACTAGATGGAGCTGACGATCATAGAAAAAAAAATGTTTTAACTAGATCCCTAAGTCATCGCTAGATTTTTTGGCCCTTTTCTATTTTATACTGAATTTCTTTTTTTTTTCACTTAGGTTTTACATGAAAACATTTTCTCCCAGTTCAGAAAATTATATGGGGCACAAAATCATTGCAACTGTTTCTGCCGCCCTAATTTTAAACAGTGCACAGGAATCGCTCGGGGTCTCCACACTTAACAAAATTCCCCAATGTCTGTCTTGTACCTTTTATTATTGTTTTTTTGTTGCTGGTGATTCACTTCCATTGTTCTCTTAGCAACGTGCTCTTGTTATTACTGTTGACCTGTGTGTGCTGCAGTTCATATGTCAGTCTCACAGCTGTATGACCACAGCACACAAATCAATGACTAGTCCATGGAGACAAGCCCAACAGCAAACTCTAACAAACCATCTTTGCTACATTTCTTTAAACTGGTTCAAGCTGGTTTAGTTTTTGGGATAGGTGCACCCTAATGATCAAATAGCGTTGCTGGTATTCTTTTTTATCTGGAAGTGCAGCATTTATTCTTACTCATTGGCCAAAATGTTTATTTTAGCTTTGGAATAGTTAGAAGCATTTTAAAGAGGAACTTCACTCTGTCAATTAACATTAACTCATTTTAATCCTTATGCTGCCAGCATTGGATAGGAAGCTTTAAATTATTTTCTTGTTTTAACTTTTTTCTTTTTTACATTTCTTCAGTTGCTTCCTGGTTTCTGGCCTAGGCCAAAATGATATCATACATCCCAGGAGTCTTCATGGGCATTTTTTCCTTGCTCTATAGTAGTCTTCAAATTGTGGGCTGGATGTCACTCTTTGCTTGCCAGTATCCGGCTCTTTAGGAATCATTCCATCCACTAATACCAATGATGAGGCACCATTCCTCCCAACAATACTGATGATGGGGTGCCATTCCTCCCACCAATGCCAATGATGAGGCACCATTCCCCCCACTTATGCCAATGATGGGGCACCATTCCTCCCACCAGTGCCAATGATGGGGCATTATTCCCCCCACTTATGCCAATGATGGGGCACCATTCCCCCCCAATGATGGGGCATTATTCCCCCCACTTATGCCAATGATGGGGCACCATTCCCCCCACTTATGCCAATGATGGGGCACCATTCCTCCCACCAATGCCAATGATGGGGCACCATTCCTCCCACCAATGCCAATGATGGGGCACCATTCCCCCACCAATGCCAATGATGGGGCACCATTCCTCCCACTTATGCCAATGATGGGGCACCATTCCTCCCACCAGTGCCAATGATGGGGCACCATTCCTCCCACCAATGCCAATGATGGGGCACCATTCCTCCCACCAATGCCAATGATGGGGCATTATTCCCCTCACTTATGCCAATGATGGGGCACCATTCCTCCCACCAATGCCAATGATGGGGCACCATGCCCCCCACTTATGCCAGTGATGGAGCACCATTCCTCCCACATATGCCAGTGATGGGGCACCATTCCTCCCACCAATGCCAATGATGGGACACCATTCCTCCCACCAATGCCAATGATGGGGCACCATTCCTCCCACCAATGAAAATGATGGGGCACCATTCCTCCCACCAATGCCAATGATGGGGCACCATTCCTCTCACCAATGCCAATGATGGGGCACTATTCCTCCCACTGATACCAATAATGCACCTTTAGAAGGCAGTTTGGGTGGTCCAAATATGAAGCTTTAGTGGAACAAACGAGGATGTCTCACATATTTAAGCTAATGTCTTTTTGCCTTTTTTTGAAACATAGCCATTTACACATTTTTATTTATGGGTCAAACCATATAATTTTTTATTCATTCATGTTAATAAAGATCTGTGGATTTTATCTCAGTATCCCTTGTAGTTGCCCTTAAAGTTCCGCATTATTTTGTTTTGGGGGTTCTCTGCTTCCCCTAATACCAATAATGGGGCACCATTCCTCTCACTGACACCAATGATGGGCCACTGTCCCTTCCATTGACACCAGTGATGGGGAACTATTCCCCCCACTAATACCAACAATGAGGAACTATTCTTCCCATTGACACCAACAATGAGCACTATAAAGAGAAACATTTTTTGTTCCTTAGGGATTCGAGTCTCTTTTGAATATGGTGTTCACACCTTGTTTTTTATTATATCCAATAATCGATATTTGTGATTGCTATCATTGTGACCCAGAGTGTGCCCCACTGCCTTGTGTTCTCTTAATAACATTCACTTAATATTTTTTAATAATAATATATAAATAATAGTATATTATTTATAGAAAAAAAAAACACACATATATATATATATATATATATATACAGTATATATACGAGATTGTTCTATATTGTGAAATATGGGGTCTGTATGAATTGCATTCGAGATCTGTTTTTAATTCATTTTATTGGTTAGGGTCATGTTTAGCAGCACAGATGTCCTCAACCAAAATTTTTAAAAATACATTTTATATTGTTTAATTGTAATGTTGGCTAATAAACACATATTTTCATATTTTTCTATTTGGTGTTGTTGTTGCTCTTTGTAGATGGAATTAAAAATCATATTTTATAGTTGTCCCTCAGAAATCTAATAAGGACTGGTGTTTATGTAGCAATTCTAATTATTCATTAATGAAAATCGTGGATGAAATGTTGTATTTATTTTTATTTAGAAGGTCAAACCAGCACAAATTAAGCTGCATTTTCTTTTTTCATTTCAGGTGGGCTCAGCAGTTTTAAACAGAACCACGAAAACTTGTGTGATAATTCCCTCCAACTTCAAGATTGCCCGGATGGAGGCGGGGCCTCAGCGGTGACCATCACACTACCTCAGTCCGTCCCTAGCACTCCAGATATAGAGAACGCAGAACTGACCCCCATCCTCCCTTTTCTCTTCTTGGGCAATGAGCACGATGCCCAGGACTTGGAGAAAATGCAGAGAATGAACATAGGGTATATCGTCAACGTAACCACTCACCTTCCTCTATACCACTATGAGAAAGGAATCTTTAACTACAAGCGTCTCCCAGCAACAGACAGCAACAAGCAGAATCTCAGGCAGTACTTTGAAGAGGCGTTTGAGTTTATAGGTAAGCTTCTTGGTTCTTTGAGTCTTAACTTCAATTAAATCAGGATTAGAGAAAACAGAACTTTTCCAAAATTGTCACTTTGGTCATATATTGTATTGTCCAAACTCTTGACACCCAACCACCACATCTATGTGAGCTTACTGGACTCCCTATTCCAAAACCATGGGCATTACTATAGAGTTGCAACTCTCCTACTCCTTGTGGCAATCACAGCCTCCACTCTTCTGGTAAGGCTCTTCAAAAGAATTTGGAGTGTGTCTGTGGACAATTTGTTTCCATTCAGCCAAAAACGCTTTTTTGAAACCAAGTAATGATGTTGATAAGACCTGGCTCAGTCAATGTTCCAATCAGGGTTGAGGTCAGGACTTTGTGAACACTCAAGTTTCCCCATAACTTAACAAACCATGTCTTTGTGGAACTGGCTTTGTTCACAGGATGGATAGAAAAGGGTCTTCCCCAAACTGTTACAACATAGCTGGAAGTGTACAATTGTCTCAAAAGTCTTTGTGTTCTGTAGCGTTAACGATATTCATCACTGGAAACACAACACCTCATTTTTCTTCAGGGGTTATACATACGTTTGGCCATATAGTGTATTGAGTATTTTCATGGCATGTTTCATTTTGTATGTTTCTATTTCTTGCATTTTTTATATTTTATATAGTAGATGTGATTGATGTTACATAGTCACATGGTTATTTAAGTTGAAATAAGACGTATGCATTGAATGAAGGAAACACAGTCTCCAACTTAAATAACACTGGACATGCACTGCACACAACATTGAAAACCAACAAATTGTGTCATGGATGTAAGGGACTTTCCCAGCACCAAATATAATTCAAAATAAAAAAAAAAAATAATAATAATAATAAAAAAAAAATATATATATATATATATAAATTTATTGAATTTTTTTTTGACCAAACAAATGTATTACATCTTTATTACAAAACATAAAACTATATCTCAAAACATAAACTGTAGGCTTAGAACATAGGGGAGAAAACCTCATATGTAGCTCTTATAGATTTAATTATCCCCATGCACTGGGGCTGTGCCTGCACTGCATGGGTTAACTGCTTGTTTTGTGCTAGGGGAGAGGACAGCAGAGATATACTTACCTTACTCATCGATTCTTCCCACATAAGAGCGGTCCCTTCAGCTCCTGGACAAACACCCCCCCCCGCAGGGTGCAAAAAAAAAAAACTTTTTTTTTTTGTAAAATAGGACAGAATGCAAAGCGAAATTTCTCAAGTGGGGTTATGAACAACAGTAAAAATATTGATCGAAGAATTTACTCATCCTGAGTCTATCCAAAACATTAAAAACTGATGTTTTTATATAATGTGAAGTTTGTTTTAACTCTTTCATCTAACCATATTTTTTTTTTCTTATCTTCCAGAGGAAGCTCACCAATGTGGGAAAGGCCTGCTCATCCACTGTCAGGCAGGAGTCTCACGCTCGGCCACCATCGTGATAGCCTACCTGATGAAGCACACGCGGATGACCATGACCGACGCCTACAAATTTGTCAAAGGAAAGCGACCAATCATATCCCCGAACCTAAACTTCATGGGCCAGTTATTGGAGTTTGAAGAAGACTTAAATAATGGTATCACACCACGGATTCTTACGCCAAAGTTAATCGGTGTAGAGACTGTGGTGTAACAAAAACATGTTATCAGTAGAGCTTCAAGATGAAAAGAAAAAAAAGCAACTCATCTGGATAAAAGTAATTTTTAAGATGGAGGATTAGATCTCGAGCCGGAGAAGCTTAACTGTTATGTCTTTGGATGCCCCTTTGTCACCTTGGCAAAAAAAAAAGCCAAGGCTAAAAGTTTTTGAGAAAAAAATAAATCCATGGTGATCAGGGGTCTGTGCGGGTTCATGGACTGAAGAAAGGAGTGCTGTTCATGCAATACAGCTATGAAAATGTGCATTTTTTATGCATACTATGCCAGACCATTGCTCCAAGGAGATTAAAAAGAAAAATGAAGAATCTGCCATAAACAGAATATATTTAAATGGCAAAAAATTAGAAACTGTTAACTCTGGGTGTGTTATGTTCTATTTTTATATTTGGGCTAATAGGGTTTCATTGACACAGAACTTGACCATTTCTTGCCCTCAGTGGCTTCTTGTGCAATAATTTTGTTTTGAGTGTGAGAATTGTAAGAGCTGATTGAATGTTTTTGAGTTTGCCTACATGCAGGGTAGGTAGCCATTTTTGTGGGTTGAACCAATAGTGAGGTATTGATCTTCTGGTGGTATCTCCAAGGCTCAAGGTATATTATCCCTTGAGCCTCTGTGGTGTTACATGCAACCAGCTGGATACTGTACACTATATGGTAAAAGTTTGTGGAAGCCTGACCAGCACACTCAACATAAAAATATTCAAACACCAACCACATGATTGAGTTCAATACAGGGTATTGTTAATTCTACAGCATATAAAGATATTATAGACAACTGTGCACTTCCAGCCTTGCAGAGAGCCCTGACCTCAACCCTACTGAGCACCTTTGGAATGAATTGGATCTCCGATTGTGAGCCAGATCTTCTCATCCAGCATTAGTACATGACCTCATAAATGCTCTTTTGGATGAATGGTCCCGGTTTCCCATAGATACACTCCACAAAACCATCCCAGAATATGTTAAGCTATTATAGCTACAAAAAGAGTCAATTCCATCTTAAAGCCCATGGTTTTGGAATTAGATGTCTAACAAAGCGTGATGGTCAGGTATCCACAAAATTTTAGTTCATAGTGCACCTCCCAATGTGCTGAATCCCAAACTGGGATGCGAGTTTGCCTCTATAATATTTGATGTGTGTTTTTTCATTTTCTGAGTTATATCTAATTCATTTTGTTATACCCTGCCTGCTTTTTTTTTTTTAATTTTGCTGGTTGCCATGACTGATCTGTCAACACGAGGAGCTCTATGTGTACAGAACAAAATTCCTACAGGAACCACCCTATCCACATTGTAACTGCCAACCATTAAGTCTACTTAAACACCGGTCACATAACATAACTCTCAGAGGAGAATTCGTGCATGCAGGGAATTTTTTTTTTTTTACGTCAATTATAATCAGTCACAATTGGGCTTATGCAAGAGTCAAAATAATCATTCTTGAATTAATTAAACTTCATTAACTTCATTCTTTTTTCTGAAGTGCAGTTTTGATTCGGAGGTGAAGCACATTTTTTGGTAGGCAGCCCTCTAGAGTATAAGGTCTGTGATTGGTTTCTTGGAGTATTATGTAGAAACCTCATAGAAAGAAGAGTGCCACATGGTTTTCACATTCTAGAACATTTTATTGGTCACACAAAAAAAGTTGATTCATTTCTGGTGCTCTAAAAGACCTCCTTTCAGGGTTTAAAAACTTTTTTTTGCCTGGGCAGAATCTGAACAGAAGATTTATTACACGTACTGGCGCTGAAAATGTATGCAGCGCTTTACTGCAAATTTACATCAGTTCCCGCCCCCAATGATCTTATAATCTAAGGTTCCTAACTCATGCACACATACTAGAACCAATTTAGACAGGAGCCAATTAGCCTACTAGCATGTTTTTGGGGTGTGGGAGGAAACCCACGCAAGCACAGGGAGAACAGGCAACCCCAGGCAGGTTGTGCTGTGGTTGGGACTCAAACCAACAACCTTAGTTCTGTCATGCAGAAGTCACTGAATGGATATTCAATTGGTTTATAGCCCTTGTTAGATCTAGCATCAAGGCCAGCAACCTGAGCAAGCTTTACACCGCTGACTCAGTTCCGATTGTGGGATATGCTGTAAATCCTCCTTTTAGATTGTCTTGAGTTCAGAAAGTTTTTTTTAAGCCTTGATAAGGGGGTCCTTTAAAACACATTGACTGTTTTTTCCCAAAAAAGCCTGTGATCAACACTGTTTCTGGATTTTAAAACTAGTGTAGTACTTCCTACAAATGTTTTACATAGTACTTTAGCCTGAAAGTCATGAGTGAGAAGCCATTTAGGTGTGACCTTTGCTGCCTGACATCACAGACTGTCTTTCAGCAACTTAGACTGCATAGCATTGCTAAATAATTGAGCCCTGTAGTGAACAGAAATGTACAAAACCACAGAAATCTGTTAGGTGATATTGTTATGCACACTTGGAAGCTGAGAGAGTGTGTGAGGGGGGCCGGCCTTCAAGTGATCTCTGAGCCATGACTCTCAAGTTATAGAGTTAGACTCTATATAAGTCATGTTAAGGAGAAGCCAATATTAACGGTTTAGAGTTAAACTTGATTGTTATAATAATTGGAGGCTAAATATTTTAATTCTTGCCAATATCAAATATCACTGGTTCCCTTTAGGCCTGCCAAATAAACAAACAATTCAAAGAAAATGTTAAGCACTTAATTATTAATTAATGAAACATTTCACGAGGGAGGTATGGAGGATATTACGGCTAACCTTTCCCATTGCACCTATTCTAATTCTTGCCAAAACCAAACGTGACTGGTTCTCCTTAGCCTGGCAAAAAAACAGACAAATCAAAAAGATTATAAGCACTTAATTATTAATTAAATGAAAATGTCATGGAGGCTAACAAGTCTAACCTCTCCTATAGTTCACACACTATATTAATTGGAGGTTAAAGTGATTGTAAATGCTAATGTTACTTTATTAAAATAACAGACATTTCATACTTACCTGCTCTGTGTAATGGTTTTGCACAGAGTGGCCCCGAACCTCCTCTTCTCAGGTCCCTTAGCACTCCAGGCTCCTCCTGTTCTTGTTATGCCTCCATAGCAACCACTTAATATTGAGGCACACTTGTGGGCTCGCTCTTGAGCCATGCTGTGTGAGTCTATAGACACACAGTGTGGCTCCGCCCCCTCCCCTGCTCCCTCCGCTGCTGCCTGAGTACCTGTGTGAAGAAGAAGAGATGGGAAAGAAGACCTGAAGCTGGGACAGCGCTGGATCGCTGACAGGCTCAGGTAAATATTTGGGGGGAGAGGGAATTAGTGGGGTGTTTTTTACCTTAATTCAAAGAATGCATTAAGTTAAAAAAACACCAAGGCTTTAGAACCATTTACGTTGATAATATTTTTAATTCTTGCCAAGATCAAATGTGACTGGTTCTTTTTAGACTTGCCTACAAACAGGCAAGTCATTTTAAGCACTTAAATATTTATTAATTAAAAATGTCATGGGTGAAGTATGGAGGCTACCATGGGTGAAGTATGGAGGCTACCATGGGTGAAGTATGGAGGCTACCATGGGTGAACTATAGAGGCTACCATGGCTGACCTCTCCTATAATTCAAATGCTGTAATAATTGGAGGTTTAATTATTGTCAATACCAAATGCAACTGAACTCTTTAGGTTTACCTACAAAACAGACAGATCAATGAAAATTATAAGCACTTAATAATTAATTACAAATGTCATGAGAGAAGTATGGAGGCTACCATAGCTAACCTCTCCTTTTTAAAATGCTAATTGCCTGGCTGTCATGTTCACCCTTCATTTTAAATACTGTGAGTTACTTACCTAGAACAGGTATATAGAAAGGGACAACTGACCTTCCTAATATGCATATTTCTCCTAGGTCAGGAAATTATTTACATCAGAGACAACCAGGAAATCGGCATTTAGAGTAGGAGGACCATCAATGGCAGCCACCATATTGCTCTGACAACAGAGTCAGTGGGCAGTATACATCAGAGCACTACATGGGAGTTCTCTGCCTGTGTTCCTGGCACACTTTGAGCACTCCTTGACACTGAGCCAGAAGTTCTGTAATAATTCCGGTAGCATGATACAGTTGAATGCACACCAAAAGCGTTCCGGTGTTTGAAATTACAAGTTAATTAAGGTGCCTTGATGCTACAGTCTCCATTCATTAAACTGCTCATTCCAGCAAGCATCTTACTAGGGTGCATGATACAACAACAGGACCCTGCATGAGCATCTAAAGCCAACATCAATGTGTACTCTATATGCCAAACATTTGTGTACACCTGACCATCACACCTACTGTATGGCCAAAAATATGTGGAAAGCCCTCCAAATGATTGAGTTCAGATGTTTCCAGTGAAGAGTACTGCTAATGTCACAGAATATAAGGAGATTTTAGACAAATATGCACCTCCAATCTTAAGGCTGCAGTTGAGGAAGGTCCTTTTCACTTTCAGTGTGACTGTGCACTTGTGAACAAAGCCAGCTCCACAAACACATGGTTTGACCATTCGGTGTGGAGGAAGTCAGGGGCCTGAACAGAGCCCTGACCTCAAATTTGTTGAATTCCTTTGGGCACCCTGATTGTGAATGAGTTCTTCTCATCTAACATTAGAACCTGATCTGAATGGGAACAAATTCCTACAGACTTGTAAAGAACCTTCCCAGAGGAGTGGAGGCTGTTATCAATGTAAAGGGGAAGCCAGCTTCATAATAATACCCATGGTCTTGAGATGTCCAACAAGCTTATACACATGTGATGGTCAGGTCTTTGGCTGTTTTGTACATGAACACTGGATGCACCAAACGTTGTATGGTTTTCTTTAAACCACAAAAAGTGAACTTTTAGTTGGCCACACATGTTACAACCAATACAATTTCCTT